CCGAATATATTGAAGCTGTTTTACCATAAAATCAAATCTTATTCAATTTTTGAAACGCAAGTTATTGTTTCATGATTAATAATTAGTAGTACGATCGTCGTGGTGTCTTTAATTATCTCTCTTGATGTAATATTTTTTCTTCTCCGTGTATAATAATAATCTACTGTCACAACTTGCTTGCATTTCCTCCAGCACGACCATTGAGAAAGCAGAAAAAAGGATGCAGCAAAATGATAGGTGACTAAGCACACGAGAGTAACACAGACACATTCATGTCGCCAGGTGTCACAAAATATATTGCAAAAAAAAAAGTAATTATACTAACGGCGTATTTCTACCCGTATATATAGCTGTCTAGATGAGAAGCGATCGATTTTTTCGGTTTTTTTTCCCGATATTACAGAAGAATAAGTGCGGGTTATGATGAAAATATTCAGATTGTGTGTAAACTGAATCGGTCTATACATGAAAAAGATATCCGTGTGTTCGAAGATTATACACTGATTTAATGATGCAACATTTTTTCGACAAAAGTAGTACCTTAGTAATCGAATTACTTTGCAGTTTGGTGGTGATCAAACCGAGTCAAATATTGATTTTCTCATTCGTTGCCGTTTCAGAAAAGTACTGTTCTTACTGAATGCAAACGATTCTGTGACCAAACCATAGATGAAAAATAATGATACCTTTTCAAATGTACTTTTTTCATAAAATTGCATCTGCAATATACTGTGACAACGACAACAACATGCAGTTTAACAGAAAATTTTTTATAACTTAATTATCCTAATTTATGCGAATAGTGTGTAAACAAAGTTCAAAATTTATGCTGTTGTTTTTTTTTCCGTATATTGAGCAAGTAGCAGTAGAGAATAATACGATTAACGAGTCAACCCTCTGTCTCACTAAAACAAGTATACCACTCTTAATAGCACTTTTAGAGGAATGTTTTTTGATCTCGTCTAGTTGCTATGGTAAAATAGAATGAACACTAGTCAAATTTCATAGTGGACAATTGTTGTTCACCTTTAGGCTTTATTTAGAACTTGCCGTTGCTGTGAACTCAGTTATCCAAATAGTTGTCAGCAGATCACTTTATGAACTTTACTTGAAATATGAAAACAAATGAACTGCCACTTTCAGTTTGAATGTGTCATTAGTACTTAGATCGTATATCTCTACAATTGATTTGAATAGTAAATTAAAGTAAAAAAATATAATATTTTTGAAGTTAAAATAACAAATTGATAGAGAAGCACTTTTTCGATATTCTGCAACAAAAATTTTAACATTTCGGCGTGTTTCTGATAGATTTTTGATAGGACAATAATATCGAATACTGTCCATTGTTAAATACAACCAAATTGTCGTTGCAGCATAAACGAATTACGAGGCTCGTTCCTACTGCTGGCGTGTTCACAAAATATCGATAAGTTTTTCACGAGCAAATAGAGCCTCATTATCGCCTAGACAAATGAAATTTTTGTTGTGAGCTGCGATATAAACAACTACTATGTTGTTATCATGCAAACTAAAATTAAATATAGCATTCCTTGGCTATTATGAAATACTCATATTCTGTATGTGATGGCCATCTTGATGTTCTATCAAGCAAAGCAAAAAGGAAGATGCGCATATTTTGATAATTATTTGATTGAATAGCAAACCTACCATTGATAATAAATTTGTTAGATCAAATTTAGATCGTATATTTATAACTTCATCGTCTATCCTCTACCGAATAGAGCGTGAATCATAATCTTAGGAATCGATTAAGTACAACTAGATTGATTCATGTTACATTTTCATTTTTGTCTCACATAATATTTTTGATGATAACACAGCATCGTAGAAGTAAATGAGCTATTAGCACATTATAAATAGGGAGAACAAATTTTTTTCAATGAATCAGCCGAACAGATATTAGTTGATTACAAATACGAAGTTTTTTGACCATTTTTTCTTGAGTAATATTGATTGACAGACACATATAAGAGGTAAAATTTACAGTAAACAAGATGCACAGATAAAGCATACAACACTACGGTAACTAATATATTTTACGACTAAATGACGATGTATAAAATCACGATGAAAAAAAATAACGCTCTATGCAAATTTTAATATAAAACATTTATTCGAAAACAAACCTAAAAAACTGACAGCTTAGTGAATAATTGTCCTACTAACGAGAATAGAATAATTATAGATCAATACCTTTTGCTTATATTTAAAAATGAAATGTAAAATGTTGTCTGCAGAGCAGCAGATCGATACAGTATATACAATGTGATTGATGCAAAAGCTATTGAATAGCGGCGTAACCAGGATGTTAAGCTACGGGGCTCGGCCCCAAAACTCTTTAGAATGCTGGTGTGTTTATTTGGCGATTGTACATTGTTGTTGTTGTGCTTCTTCATTGGATGTGATCAGACGTTTAGATGAAGCAATGAAAGCCGAAGTAAGTGTTAACCCTAACACGACCACCTGGGGCCCGTATGGACCCAGCTCAAAACAGGAGCTCTTAATGCATGTCTTGTTCTTCTTACGCGCACATAGAAAAAGACGAAAACCCCACAGGCTGGTGGTACATGGTACTCTTATTCAATGTGATATGAATTGAAAAGCTAAACGCTAACTATTGACTTTAAATTTCATCCAACGTAGACTGGTAGAATCTGAGCATTATAGAGATGGTCGTGTCAGGGTTAAGGGAAAGTAGAAAGATGTATATAAAACAGCTGCTACATCTCTTTTATATGACACTGGTCACAACACTATTCACAAGCAGACTATTTCTCCGCTATTCATTATTAGACAAATAGACAACGATCAATTACTCACATCAGAGGTGTGCGATCCACGGGTTGAACCCCACGGGGCCCGTAAGACCCGCGGGATCGGCGGGGCGGGTCGCGAATTTTTACAAAATTGCGGGGCTGACGGGCGAGCGGGGCGGGTGAAATAAAAATAAAAGGCGTGAGTTTCGGGCGGGGCGAGTATAGATTTCCCAGTCAGACAAAAGTCTTAAAAAAACACGTTAAAATTCCGTTAAAACGGCGTTTTAACGATAGCCATCGTAAATATGCCGTTTTAACGGAAACTTAATGCGTTTTAACGCGTTACACTATGTAAGCGTTTATCATTCACATAGTGTAACACGTTAAAACGCATTAAATTTTCGTTAAAACGGTGTTTCAACGCTTTTGTTTAGACTTTTGTCTGAATGGTATGTAAAGATTTTCAAAATTTCTCGATCATTTTTAAAAAATATTAGAAATATATATACTTTATACATTTCTAATAAAATTTAAAATATATTGGAATGTTTTTGAAAACATTTAATAAAAAACGTTTTAAATGTTTCAAATTATTTTTAAAGAAATATATTCCTAAAATCAATTTTTTCATAATTTATTTAAATATTTAAAAAAAAAATTTACATTTACATACAATCTTTTTAAATGTATATTATTTGTATCTTTTTTCCTGAAAAATAAAAAGCTAACAATAATTTTTTCCCTCTTAATCTTCTATCGAAACAAACTGCCACTTTGCTATATGAATTCATTCGATTTTAGAAACATGTTCGAATTATCTTTAAACTGTAAGAGTAGTCGAATGGATAGCATCTTGGACTATCAACAAGTACATCATACGGTCGAGTCTAGGTCAACGCAGTAAAATCTAAAATATTTAATTGAATCAGGTAAAGAAACTACAAAAACGTTAATAAACCACAACTCGTTATAGCGCATTGATAATCTTGTACGAAAAATTTTAAAAAAATCCTTTTTTGGATTTTATTTTCTTTAAAGTTAATTAATGCGTTTTAACGCGTTAAATTTTTGAACGGAAAAAAACGCACTGATAAACTTGAACGGCAAAGTAATCGCAAAAATGTGCGGTTTTTCTGAAATGTTTGCCGTAAAAATTTCGATGCGTTTTAACGCGTTATTTTTTATTTTTTATTTTTTGTCTGACTGGGTTACACGGGTTCTGGCGGGTCAAGATTTTTCACGGGGCCCGATGAAGGGTCGTAAAAAATTATTGAGTGGTCGTTAGCCTAGGTGTGTAGTACGAAATACATATTGATTGGCTCTTTATTTTCATCTTATGATCTACAAGCTTGTCTTTACGTATTTCTTTTTTTCCTTTTCGTTTGAATAAAGACCCGGAGCCGGCAATGCAGTGAGATAAAAGTTACACAATAGCAAGTGTTACGTGATTGTTCTGCAAGTTTTTGAACGGGTCTAGATATAGAATTGATATCAGTAGTTAGAGAAAAAGATACTGCATTGAACTATGTTTTTGGATTTTCCTTAAAAACTGACAAGTGAAAAATAGAGAGCGCCATCGTACAGTGACGACATATGAATATGTTTACTGCAGCAAAATATGATTTTCAAATACTACTAGATCAGTTCTCTCATATTTCTGTTTTACCACATTATTTTAGCTATAAATTCACCTAACTACCACATTTTTCAATCCCACAAGAGATCAGGTAACTTTAGAATATCTTCGCGCAATAATAACAGTAATTTGTTTACATCAAAGTTGTAGGAAATGACAAAAGAACGATTTATCTGATAAAAATATTTAAGCACACAAATAATATATAGAAATACTACATAAAACAGGTTGTGGGTGCCATTAGAGACACGGAGGAAATGGACACCACCTCCACCCTACACTTTTGTCTCAGATTTTTTGTTAAAAAATCTAATTAATTATATACAATAAATAATTTGTTAAATATAAATTTTCTTCGGGTTATACGGATGGGGCGGGCCCGTCATCAAATCGACGGGCGGGCGGGGCGATGTGGCACCTCTGGGTGCACGGGTGCGGGCGAGGCGGGTGTGTGTGTGTTTGTACGGGGGCGAGCGGGGCGTGGGAGCTTACGCAATTCAACTGCGCGGGGGTCTGCGGGACGGGTGTTGGAAATTCGCGGGGCACGAAAATTCCCTGCCCCCCACACCTCTGATTACAACGAGATGTTATTTCCACCACGAATTCCGGTGATGCATACATTGGCACTGCTAATCTTTCTAAAAGTGGTACACTGCATGCTGACCACATCAAGATCAGAACCTAACTATCCTATTGGCGAAGTTATCCAGACTACTGGAACCACCTTGCCAAATGATTTCACTGATATTAAGAGCGCAACCACGATCAAACAGGAAACAAGTAGTTCTACTGTTACTCTTGATGGCAGCGAGAAACATCATATATTACGATTCCTAGCTGTCGAACGTTCATCATCCATAGCATTGTGATCATTCTGTACTTATTCACAATAATATTGGAATGACTCGATGGGCGCAAGCCATTGGTTAAAACTGTGAATGGTAAGCATTCAATAATCAGTAATTTTCCATCGGTACAAGTCGATTGGCAGAAGCTTTTTCGATATTTCAAACAATCAACGACTTGTAATGAAAAATGCTGATGAGGAAAGTGTGTCATAAGGAAATATTTTCTACTGTTTTAGACAGGCTCCGTGACGTCATGACCTTAGCGCACAGCTCGAAAAGGTGGGTGTGGGTGTGGAATTACACAAAACGCAAATCTCACAGCCGCAGCCGCACCCACACGCTCAGGCTACATACATAGAGGTACAGGATGTGAGATTTGAACCTGATGTCGAAATCGAGGGTATGTCTCGAAATCTCATCTATAAGGCCCTCTGAGAAACTCAGACAGAGCCTATCAGACTCAGTAGAGATGTCGGATTAGCATTAAAAGCGAAAATAATGCATTGATTTATTTCTCAAGGAAAATTGATTAATAATAAATCTTTAGAATTAAAAGTAGTATTGGTGTTAGGAATGATAGATTAGTGAATAAATCCGCATTAAGGGTTTTCTTAACCATAATACACCAATGCATTATTTTCATTTTTAATGCTAACCTGACACCCCCAAGACTCAGTTTTTAACGCTTATTATGAATTTGATGTTAAAACCTGATTTTGAAGTAGCTTTACCTAACATCTTCTAGAAAAACATTGAGCCAGCACATTCAAAATCGTGCCTCTTGAGAATGTCTCTGGGCGGATGGCTACTTTGGCCCATTTTTTTTTCGATCGAAACTAGTACATTTTGTAGAGGCAGTCTCGACCCAATTTCTGAGAAAGTTTCAGTACTGTCATTTAAGATATCGGGGGGAGCGAGTTATTGCACTGCGACCGTGTCCGCAGGCTCACACAAAAAAGTATTACCAACGGCGCCTGAATGTCCTATATTTCTCCACAAGAAAAATGTTAAGTATCAATCGTCTATATGCATTTTGTAGAGCAAAGCAAGATGCATCTGCTCCTATTATGAAAACTCAGCAAGAAGTTTCCAATGTAAAAAGATGAAGAGCACAAGGTACGACTATGGAGGGGAAAATGTATGTAGAGCCGCAAATGAGGGTGGCCCTTGCAACTTTTTTCGGCGCAAAGAGAAGTCGGGAAAAAATACATAGAAACATGTGGGCCTTTCTCTCATATACATTCGAACCGAATCGGAGGGGGGGGCAGATTTGTGGACTTATCCGGCGGTGTCCTTTTAAGTTTGAGGCATTTGATAGATCCTTGTCTGAAAATTTTACTGGTGTGAGGATTTCAGCTGCACAACAAAGTGAAATACGCCCTCCTAGAACGCTATTGACCTTTTTTCTCTACACACCATATTGGACAGATACGGAATGTAGGACAAAATTGCTAAGGATCTTCCCTATCACATTATGCGCTCGAGCGACTGCATCAGCTTTCATATACAAAATATGATATAGCGCCAAGTAATAGCTCGAACCTAGAAGTATTTTTCAGGTGTTGCTTTTCTAATAAAAAGGCGCTTTCAAAAAACAAAATCGATTTTTCTAAAAATGATGATATTACATAGTTGAAATTTTAGCTAGTTTATATTTTACGACAAAAATGAAATGAAATATTACATTTTGTAGAGTAACGTTTACTCTACAACCTGATATATGAACACAAATTCCAACATTTAGTTTCGGATTCCAACAGTGCAAATGAACGGAAAGTTTTCTGTCGAGATCACTTTTTCAGGCGTTGTGAAAGATTCCTTTACTCCTCTCAAACGAAGAAAGCATATTCTGAAAAAGTGCAAAATACTGAACTATTTGTTTTGAACTCTTACTAGTTGCTTTTATAAGACCAAACACTGACCAAATGTTTTGTGCCAAGACTTTCTGAACAGAGATTATGAATGCCTTGCATGTCAAAAGATATTTAACGACTCCTTCAACTTTGTAGAGTATTTCACTTCGGGGTATTTGTCGATCTAAAATGTAAGCATGATTACAACATGTGATATGAGAATCATGCCATTCGAATAAGTCACCAAAGAATAAACTTCCTAGCATATTGGTTCAAAATAAATGGAATAACCTCTAAAAGAGTGGATCGACTCAGTTAAGCAGCCGTTTTACGGTGCTCATCGGCTCCTTTGAGCCGAGAACTCTCATACAATTAGGGAAGAATCATGAATTAAAATCACACGAAGAAAAAGCAATAACGTAGAACTGTAGTTATAAAAATCGACCAATAGTAATAGCCGAGACCATATGAACTTAATATCGTTGTCTCATGTTGTCTTGCTACCCTTTTTCTTTAGGCAACTCCAACTATCCGGCTTACGACAACGACAACAATAACAACAACAACTCAAATAATGGGGGCGGGGGCAGTGGCATCTCTGGTAGTGGGAGCTCTGGCAATAACGATGAGGGTGCTGTTGATGATGAAGGCGCAGTTGACGAACTGGCACTCGCTGCTGTTTAGAAGTCTGCTTCATTGCGTTGAGGCAGATTTGCCCTGGAACATTTTATGTCATAGGTGTATGCAGTGCACTTCTCGTGATACCCTGGGCTATTATGTCTTTCCCTGTTGCGTCGTTCCATTTTCACGTATATGTATATGTTCTTGTTGTTTTGTTTTGCACATTCCGTCTTCTCTCTCCTTATTTCGTTCGCCTTTCTCCTTCGTTCTTTCGCTTCTGCGTCGTACACAATGAAATATACACGATAAAGGACAAATCTAAGACCCATGGCGCAAGCCAATTTAAACATATTGAGGATTCGATTTTTTTATGAATTTTTTACGGAAAAGCCAAAAACCCCAAAGTTTCGGGTAACTGAATTTTCAACGCCCTGTATTTCAGAAACCGATTGATCGACCTGACTGAAATTTATACGAGAGCAACACTACCATGAGTTCTATTCACGATACAATTTTTATCTCAAACAAGTAAATCCTTGAAACGACATGAATTTTGCTAAGAAGGCTATAATCGTTTGTGTTAAGCATTTTTCGAATTTTACATCTCATGAATGGATCGCCTAGAAGAAAGCATCCTGGAATCTTGAGTATATAACAACTTTTCATGTACTGGTCAAGATCTAATTGGTCTGAAAGTTTCAAAATTTTCTGACTGATAGTTCTCCAGAAATACCAGAAAAGGGGGCCGGATTCCCTTAAAATCAGAATTCTCCTGAAATTTCCTTTACGTGTTTCAAACTTTTAAGCGAAATATGTGGGCCTAAACTGTAGAAAGTGATTTTACAAAAACAGCCGATATAAGGTATGTGAAATACCAGGAAAAATAATTTTGTGGGATGGAGACGTTTGGGTTGTGCAGTGGTGTAGAACATGTTGAGATGTATGTATGGTAAGATTTTCACGAGTATCGGACAAAGCCTCTTTGAGAAATTGACTTTTGTGAATAAGTAGCGCTGGCGATTGGCCAACAGGGCTATCGGGAGAATGCTCATTGTTCTGTGAAAAAAGCACACAGGGGTCTAAAAATTTGGCTACCTAGCTAAAACAAGATGGGCTACAAGATACACTATGATTCGAACGAATTTGAAAATTCAATTGCGCAAGCTGGGTCGTGACTCTCGTGCAGTGACTCCTACGAACTCTTATAGATTATACGCATTTAGTTTTTCACATAAAACAAAAGAATAAGATTGAAACATATCATATTTAGCAATAAAATGAGTGTAATTTCACTATGAAATAAGCTTTATTATTCTTCATATTGTTGCTGTTGCTTAGAATATGCTTTTAAAAGAACCGATTTATGCTGTTGAATTGGTGTCGGTGGGAATAATGGGAGTGCAACTCTTTCTACGGCACCATCTGTCGCAAGACTATTGGTAGAAGGTGATAAAAACGAAATAATCGTGGTTGTCATCGGACCAAGATCAAATGATGCATCTTGATCGTCATTCTTTGAATTATCTAACGACAACGGTTCTGGATTTTCATCCCAAATTGATAATGCATGAGCAGCATCCCTACTGGTGTCGTTAATATTTTTTAATTCGAATTGATTTTTCATTTCCAAATCATCATTCCTGGAACTTTTTGTTTTTTCTCGATCGGCAGATTTATTTTTTTCATTACTCATTTCTCCAATACGATTACCGTATCGAGAACGTATTATTGCCTGAAGAGGAACAAGGCAACACCTGCATAAACAACACGATATTAAAATACCAATAATAATTAATAACGGTAAACCTAAGCCAAGACTAAGTCCAAGAATTAAAGGAATGTAATCCGAGGTTGTCGCACCTAAAGTATTAACAAAAACAATTAAATTTCGTACTAGAACAAGGCAACGCGATGATAGCGTCGCCAACCCTCTACTGAAAGGATTTAGTCATGTAGAACGTAGCTATCCAAAACTATCTAACTGAGAGACTTCACATTTTATAGCTTCGAAGTGATTTTCATGGAAAACACAATTGGTAACCGAGCATAAATAGAAAACTTCCTTGGAAGTATCGCCAAGAAAACAACATTTAATTACTACTTACTAATGCTTAATGGAGATAGTGAAGTCAAGCGCATCCGATCTGCTACAGCACAAGCTATGCTCCGAAAACTTTCAATCAGCTTGATAACGAAGTGAAGAAAAAGACCCATTCAGGAGAGCTATAATCGAAATACTCCATTTTAGTAAAGTTATAACTCAAATGGCCTATGAACTAGATATTTAACATGAATATGCACGAGTAGATCAGAGATTAAATCAAACTGACTTTTTCTAACTCGATTTCGGCTAGGTTTATCCTCATTTTTGCTCAAATCCATCTGGGTTCATTTTTTTTTCGGTGCGTTTCCTGTTTAGAATGCACATATTCATTTCCGGGTACACGTTCACAGATAGATAAATCTAAGATTTACATCTTTTGAATCAAATCTACTCGCAATCAGAAAAAACTAAACTTATTAAGATAATCACGACAAATATAAGTTTCAAATATTTCATACGAGTTGAGCAATTATTTCATGACCTTTCTTCGAGAGAATTCGAAGATATTTACCATTTTCGAAAATTGTTTCAACTTTTCTGATCGAGACAACGTATAACTACTCTATAAGTCTCCAAGGCCTGCAGTCTTATAATCAAAACAGATTTTCAACTGTGCGGCTAGTCGCCGCACTAGTTTTGTCTCATATGCGGTAAACGTGATCATTTTAAACGCGGCATGATTGATTGAAAGCTTCGCCTCATTCTATAATTATTAGATGAAAACCAAGAGAACTTTCAAAAAAACCCGAAAACAACAGTTGTGGGATTAATTTAATACAGCTTTATCTACATATGCGATAAATTCCTCACCATTTAGAGAAGAATGAGACAAGATTCCCGAGTACTTATCCAGTTCGAGTCCGTTCGTAAATGCGCTAATCTAGAATTCTAGGAGTTAAGTTTGAATAAATTTGACATATCAAGAATAAACTGAAGACTTTGAAACAAAAAGTCTTCAACGTCTTAGTGCAGGTCAGCGGCTAGTCGTTGCCAAATTGAGAATCAACTCCACCGTAAGATGCATATAGCTTATTCGTAATAAGGCCTCCCATAACCATACGATACATCTAACACTATAAACATCATCGAATGGTACCCTTAAAAAAATTCCCTACAAAGAATTCCTATCACGAAAATGAGACGATCTAACCAGCTCCTAATGCACTATAAACTTGCTTGAACTACAAAATTTCAAAAAACTGATAACGCCATCGCGTTCCCCAACCCCGATTATCTTCGGGCATACCTATCCCTAGAGAAATTGTTTGATGTTAGGTAAGTTTATGCATCTGCTTTTGCTATTGGGCGAACGAACGAACGAACGAACGGCGCTAGCTCACTTTTCGTATAACCCTCCTTTCAGTAGAGGGAATAAACATACCAGTGGTGACGGAAGTGGTCGTAGTGGATGTAATTGAAGTGGTAGTAAATGTTGTTGTTGTCGTTGTTGATGTTGTTGATGTTGTAGTGGTGGTTGAAGTTGTTGTTGTTGTCGATGATGTTGATGTTGTTGAAGTTGTGCTTGTTGTTGATGTTGTTGTTGTGGTAGTTGAAGTTGTTGCTGTAGTTGTTGTTGTAGTGGTGGTGGTTGAAGTTGTTGATGTTGTTGTAGTGGTGGGGGTTGAAGTTGTTGATGTTGTTGTAGTGGTGGTGGTTGAAGTTGTTGTTGATGTTGTTGATGTTGATGTTGTTGTTTCAGTGGTTGTTGTTGTCTCAGTCGTTGTTGTTGTCTCAGTTGTTGTTGTTGTCTCAGTTGTTGTTGTTGTCTCAGTTGTTGTTGTTGTTGTTTCAGTGGTTGTTGTTGTTTCAGTGGTTGTTGTTTCAGTGGTTGCGGATGTCTCAGTGGTTGTGGTTGTGGTGTCAGAAGTGATTGCTACTCCTAATCCTAACCAAGATTGTGATTTTACTTGGTTCAGTGACACTACCATAACTGAATTTGAATCGAACGCTATTGACTCATTTGATGTTAGTTTGGTTTGATTGTCAACAAATAAATAGAAACAATATTGATTCGATGAATAGAATTGACTATCAATTGCAATGGTGCAAAAAGTAAATGTCTGATATAATTGATCACTAGTTGGTATCCAAGTATGATTGATAGCATATGATGTTGATGTTAGTGGATATATATTATCTCCTTTGAGGGTGCCTTGCGGACTTGATGTCAAAAAATTTGTAATAGATACTTTTGTATTATTTAAACAAGCTATTTTAGCAATAACTGTAAACGTATATTGAATATTCATTTGAACAGTTAGAATAGAATCGTACGGAGGTGAATCAGGTTGGATATCGATAATTGTCGGCAAATAAGAACAACCATTTAATGTACTACTTAAATCATCAACTACTATTAAGATAAATTGAAATGGTATTGAACTGAGTATATCAGTAGAGTTTTCAAGAAAATCTTCGAATTGAATTGCTATTGCATAGGTACCAGCAAATGTTAGATTGACATTTAATCTGCATGTATCATCTATTGATATTAATTGTGCCGATGGTGGAAGTGCTATAGTGGAGCACGCATCTTGACATTCATTTACAAGAATTCCACCTAATATATTATTTGATTTTGCAAAACGACATCGAATCAAATCTCCATCACTATCATTCATTGGTATATCAATTGACACTGTTGTGTTGTTTGCAATAGGCACATAAGTCACTAATGGCATGGATGATGTAGGTGAATGATTAATTAGACCATTATCTGGACGTGCTTGTAAATTAAGATACATAACTAAGCTCCAATTACCTCCGCCTAATTTCAACGGTACCCAACCATCCCTTGATGATGTATAGCCAATTACTAGGCCTTCCGATAATACGTTCAAATCTATCGATGTTTGACTATGCCCAAATGACATGTCTAATACAGTATTATAATCAGTACACGGAACTAAACTTGATATATTGGTTGTAAAATTAGTACGTGAACATACTGTTGCGTTCGATAAACATATCAGAGTATTATCTACATCTTCACCAATAAGACCATATGATAAAATCGTTGATTGCATACACGCAGTGGTTGTAGTATTTCTAGACCATGCATATTTCTGTTCAATATTGACTTTTACTGTGTTATTTATTTCAACTTTATTAGTATTGTTTATTGGTGACCAATTGATTGAACCACCATAAAAATGATTTCCATGGACAGCATTTTGAACAAAAACTAATATGAGAAGAGATACTACAAACTTTTTCATTTGTTAAAAATTGTTTGAGATGAAATAAATTTTATTGATGCGACGATTTGATTAGTAAATAGTTGAATGTAAAAAAAACTGAAAATTTTCTTGCCTTGTTTTTGTGTAACTCGAAATGTCTACTCTCCTTGTTTTTTCTTTTTTCTTAGTTGAGTAAGAGTATTTTTCTCATTCAAATACAAATGCAATACACAGACAAGGAAGACGTATAGCTACAATATTTTCAGGCATAGAGTTCTATGTGCGAAACAAACTGATTGACATAATTAATAAAGGAAAAGATTTGTGTACAAAACTTTTTATTGAGTGGCTATTCTAATTCAACGAGCAGTATGTAGATATTTTTTTTTGTTAAACAAGCATTTTCTGTAAATAGTTTTTCAAACATACTTTCTATTTTAAAATAATACGTCTTCATACATATATATATATATATGTCATTTCTTTATTGATATTGTAATCTATCAACAAAACATTTTTAATTGTATTTCAATAATTTTTTCAGTTCCTATTGACGTAAAGAATTATAGAATCAGGAAAAAAATTTGTTTTTTTTAATTCGATCTTTCCGGGAAGAAAGATGAAGCAGATTTTATTCCCAAATCAACTCATATAGAAGTTAGAATTCACCAAAATCTAATTAATTTTAATATTTGGAACTATCATGAAAAATATGTATGTCAAGTATTAGTTTGTGGGACAAAACAGTTTTTGTACGGCATCGTCATAACAAGGTAAGCCTTTTTTTACATCATGCTTGAATCAACTAATCCTCAACTAGCTTTGAAATATGAATCAATACGACAGAATATGAATCGTTAATGAAATTATTCGATCATATTTATTGAATAATTATAAAGTTTCTTATCCAATTTTAAAATCGCTAGCAATGAAGGTATCACTCTCTTGCATTCGAACATGTAGTAGAGATTAAAATTCGCATCAATTGCTGACGATAGACACGCGCTGAGAGAGTGTATAGAAAGAATGAAGCAAAATAATCGCATTGTTGCAATGCTACAAATACTAAACGTACTGCTATGACATTTGGTGTTCTTGTAGATGGTATTATTGAATTAATACTGTAAATGATTCCGAATGGAAGTACAAGAATAAGATGAACAACTATTTGAATAATTAACATTCGTGTCAATTGACTTTCTGTACGACGGCGTTGCATCAATGGAATTAAAAATATCGCACTCGATGAGCGCTGACGAATATTTAGAATTGTCAATATACCGAATAGAATCATTATTGAGGGTGATAAAATATAATAGATAAGAACTTGACTAAGTATATAAATACTGATTAGAATATGAAATTTTGTTAGACATTTTCCGGAATTATCGTCCCAATAGTAAATAAACAACATTGGTGACATATAGACTATAGAAAATAGGCTGCCAAGTGTGATATTTCTTCTTCCTATTCGAACAGCACTTGTCGAGTGAAGTCGATGGACTCTTGAACTCGTCCAATAGCGATGAAACGAAGCTAACATAAGCATAATATTAGCTTGAAGTGGTAGTACAAACAAAATATAAGCATGCGTTTTACAAGTTATTTTCCCACTTATCCAGTTAATAGAAAAACCACGAACAAATTGTATCGGACATAATAAACACGTATAAACAATACTTATAATAGCATAGGTAAGAAAATAATATGTACATGACGATGAAAGAAGCTTGCGACAAGATAATATACGTATATTAAGTATGTTGGTGGCAATGGCTAAAATAAAATGTGCAGGCTGTATATATATATTACTATGGAGTACTCGTTCGATGTTATTGCTCATAACTATTGTTTTCTACTTTGTAATTAACATGTCGTAATGTACAGTAAAACAAAATAGGTTCATCCTATATCGTCGAGACAAGTAAATTGTATTCCATTAAAGATGTTGGTTATATAATCTAAAGCAAAGGATTCAGCTTAGGGGGTGTCACATTTAAATTAAATTGTATGAAATTCAAATTTTGAAAATTAGTAGATAAACAGTTTTTGACTGGATTGTTATTATCTCAAGTCAAATTTTAGTATGTTATTTGTTTTCTAAAGTTAAAACTAGTCATTCTTCTACGAATTGTGCTATTAAATATATTTTTATGAGTATCCTGGTATTTTGAAGAAGAAAGATAACGGATCCTGCATAATCTCTAGAGAAATTTTACCTACTATGAACAAATGTCAACCTAAAATACAAGGTTCTCATCTCATTTGGGTATTTACTACTGTTAAAGTCACGTATTTTCCTCATAGCAATGATGAGTATCTATCCAAACAATTTATTAAATTTAAATAAAATAAACTGTAAATTGACACTCCTAGCTGTTAGTTATATAAGATAGGAATACTGCTCGTACTGATTTATAATGTAGTAAAATTGGCCACAATGGTAATATTATCTCTCTATTGTTTTCATATCGAACTTAATCTGATCAGTTAATTAAAATGTAATTTCATCTCTGATAAAGCCACATTCTTCATTAATAAAATGTCAAAGAACGATGAAACTTCATCTATATGGAATCGACTTGCGGAAACATATGTCAATAATATGCTTGTAATTTTCTATTTAGTTATAATACAAAAATAGAATCCCTAGTTTAACTGGTGTAAATATACTTACCTTATCGGAAAAACATATTTATTATCGAGGAACAAGCAAGATATCTACACCTAACGGATTGATCAGAAAAACTACGCAGAACAGGTTAGAAGCTAACTTAAAGTTCAAATATGAATAAAAAAATGCTTAAATATAGGAAGAAATCATTTAACAAGAACTAATTATTAGAATTTTAATAAGAAAATTTCCGTAGGAATAATTAAGAAAAGATAATAATCAGATCTATAAATATTGAATTCTTATAAAAATTAAAACCTTCAATAGTGTCCTTCATACAACTAATATGCTAGTGCAGTTCGTCGCGTGCTGAAATATAGAATCTAGTAGTATACTATAGTTTTACCTTGCTAATCAAAAATATTAAAATGAAAAAATTCTCATATACTGGAGTTGTTTTCTCAAGATAATCTAACACTCGAATAATGATGCGCTCTATATATTTCTATTTTTTTCTGGCGCATTAGCTTTGTTTTCGCCTTGCTGCTATTTTGTTCGTTATCTTTGTTTTTCTTATTCCTTTTTTTTTGTGTTATTAGGTTAACATCATTAACATTCTACAAATGTATGTGACTAGCAAACAGACATACTAAATAAATCCATCCGATTTACAAATACTGTTATATATTTGGATAAATTCACGAGCACGTAGATTAATTCTAGAAGTTATAAATGAATAGATCATTAGGCATGATTCTTCATATTTTCAATGACAAGTTTTGCCTGTGTATAAACTAAAACTTGTACTATTCAGAACGCGAGAGAAAATGACTTTGAATAATCATAGTTTACAATGAGCCCGGGTGGGGGCGATTTCCGCTCGCTCAAATTTTTTGCGTTATAGTTTTCTCCCTGGAAATTTTCTTTGCGACTTTGTAGACTGAATAAAGCATTCCAAAGGCAATCATCTATTTTCTCCTTTATATCAATTTTCTCTGTAGGTTCCAACTAGTTTCTCTTTTATGTGGATCTATTTTCTGTTTCGGTACGAACTCTTTTTCACATTGATCGATTTAAATTTTTGGATCATCTAATCAGCTTAAAAAATAACTCGTTCGCATCCCAATGAAGAAGAATTACTCCGTAGCGTAAATGATATTGTATTTACACACTAAGAAATAAAGCAACATGAAAAATATGGGTCAACGGCCAATATGTTTTGAATTTACTTATTCGGTTTTTGATAGTATATTCTATAAGGATTCGACCGCAAATGGAAGGACGTGAGTGTGGGTGAGGTTCTCTTCGATGAGAAAGATCACACGGATACCCAACGTGCATCTCAAAACAACACACCCACACCGACACCCTCAAGAGTACATTTTCTGCAGGAAAAATAATGTACTAATAATTTAAATGTTAATCTTTCTTTTCTGTCTGACGAGAACCATAGCAGCTAGACTTATTTCTAATTAAATAGACTGTCGGAGGCTTTTATGTCAGAATTAGTTTTGAGTTGTATTTATTAGGAAGATGAAGAACAAATTGAATAAGAAATAAAGTCTTTCTTATTTCTAATGAAATTAAAAATAATATCATACTGTTTTTCAAGCTCTATTTAACTTCAAAGTCAAAAGCCATATGGTAAAGTCATGGATATTTACAACCGAAGTTCAAAGAAGAAACTAACCACATACATCATTGAATATTCCTTTCAAAAGTTATTAGTTGAATGCTTCTGTCAATATTCATTTCAAACGTAAATGGATGTGGATGCCGGTATTAGTGTCTATGAACAAGATCTGTACACATTCTACGATCACACCCAAATCCTAAATTACAAACCATTCATTGAATTTCCACTTCTAACCTTTCACTTGCGATCAGTATATGTGTGTGCCGATATTGATGGCACGCTTCGATGATTCTCCTTCCTTCTCTTTCTGTTCTCTTTCCATTGTTCTAATGTATTTCTCTCCTGTCTCTCTTCTATCTCTCTCCTATATATACGTGCGTTATGTATGAAGTTGTTACACTCTGGAGATGTCAGATGTCAGATGGCACAATACACAATCATGCCGACGGGCATAGGCGACACTCTCTAGTTTTATCGCTACACTCTGGATAACTTGAAGTAACCCCCCCCCCTCCGGAATA